CTCCATCAACACCTGCGGCGCCGCACGCCACACCCACCGCCGCGCCGCCACCCCCAGCCCCCCACCCCCACCCCCACCCGCCCCCACACCCACACCCACACCCACACCCACACCCACACCCACACCCACACCCACACCCTACGTCTCCGTAAGGGAAAAAAGTAGATCCAAAGATCTGATTGTTCTTCTTTCTACTCGGTACTTCAGAAGTACATTTGTTTCTCATTGATGAGGGGTCAAAAAAAGCGATATTTTCTTTGACATCCATTCTGACTGACTCTAAATCAAAACAAAAACAAACACGTTCAGAAAAGCAAGCTCGAAAAGCATTGGCAAAACTTGGTTTACGTCCAGTTGAGAAAATTCTTCGTGTTACAAGTCGAAAATCTAAGAATATGTTATTTTTTATACAAAATCCCGATGTTTATAAAAGTCCATCATCAGATACTTACATCGTTTTTCGTGAAGCTAAAATTGACGATCTTTCACAAAGAGCACAAATTGCTGCTGCTAATCAATTTTAAAATCTTGGACCAAATCAAACTACAACTAATCAAACAACAAATAATGAAGCACAACAAGAAAATATATTCTATTTTATGGAGGTTTTTCGTTTAGTTTTCATCGGTTAAAATAATTCTTCAACATATATCAATAAAAAACTTGAGCTTTTAGAATATTTTGATTCCTTTCACGTGTATTATCCAATAATCAAAAATGCACTTAACAAAAACTAAAAACATTTTCTTATTTTAATTAAGAGAAACAGATTTATACAACTTATTTCAAAGACTAGTTTAAAAAAGAAATGCGAGAATTTCACGAGAGAAAATCAATTTTAAGAGAAATCTGTTGATATTATTATTTACAATTCATTGAGTTTAATTGTTCGTATTCAAATTGCAATAACAACTACAATTACTTTTTGTTAATCAAATCCAATAGGCTGATAAAAATTTTTCAAGTTTGATCATGGAAGTTTGGTTTGTCTTTCTTCTTAGTTAAAGAATAGAATTCAGATATATTAACGTTTACTAATGATCACAATTTTAGGTTGTATCCAAAGCACGAAAATAATTAAATTTCTCAGATTGGAACGAATATCAATAATACATTATGAATATTTTAAATGAAAAAAATTTCTCTAACTGAACTTTCTTTTTCATATTAGATGAAAAATTAAATCAAATTAAAGATAAATCAGTTTTTTCAACATTATTTTATTTATTTAAAATAGAATGGTTGAGTAACTTTATGAAATGAAATCCCATAAAATTTTAATATTTTTGGTGAATAGGAAACTATTTTCATAAGATGATTAGATTTTTTTGTAAAGTTCGATCAAATCTTTTTGGAATCAATTAATTTTTTTATTTATCGAAAACTTTTTTCAATTGACATTCTTCTATAAAGACTATCGGGTCTACAAATTTTGGACACGAAGTTAAATCTTACTCTTCATAGTCAATGAAGTTTTGCTGATCGAAATCTGATAGTTCCTCTGAAATATACTCTTAGCATTTCTCAATCAACATTTATCATGAATTTAGAAGAATCAATTTATAAATGTTTCCTTATTTCAGTGTGTCACTATTTTAGTTGGCACCGGTGAACAGAAAATTTGTAAAGCCAAATGGCCTACTGGCGAATGCTTGACTAATAGACAAAACCTTTCTTAAATCAAAATCATACATATATAAACATAGACATATTTTATTGATTTGAGAAAAAAAAGAAAAGAACAAAATAAGCGAAAAAAAAATTATCATCGTTAGTCCTGCATGATTTTGCCATAAATGAAAAAACGACATGTTCTATCAAGATTGTTTAGAATTTTTCACCAAAATATCAACAATTGTAGCTAATGACTTATTCATTGACTTTAATTCACTAGCTATATCAGTTTGTTGACGAACTGATTCACGTATATGTTCATGTAATGATTTATTCATTGATTTAATTTCTTCAGCTAATTTTGATATACTATCATTTACTTGTACCACACATTCATTATGTTTATCAATTTTATTTTCTAATTCTAAGAAAACATCCATTGTTCTTTTTTTTGTGTTTTGCAATTGACGACTATTATTTTCATTATTCTAAAAAAGAAAAAAAAATCATTATTAAGACAAAAAATTGTTCTTTATATCTTTTTGAATGGACATAACGAATGATTCACCTCGTCATGTTCTTCTATTGTGATCCATAAATCATCACTGTCACTTATATAATCATCCATGGTACAAAAAAATGTGACTGAGCATAATATTATACAGGGTCATATATATATATCCTATAAAGCAACGCCGCAGACGATTTACTCGCCACATTAATTTTTCTATAGCGACCGTCGAACAGTGAATAAAAAATATTTAGGGGTCAAACGGGCAGAGAAAAATGAATTAACTTAAAGCTGAATTAAGCAACGTGATTGGTGTTTCTACGTAACAACACATATTATATTGGTTAATTCCCTTTTAATTCGTCTTATTTTTTTTCAGTCTGTTTGGGGCCTTAGTCTATAGATATAAGAATTTTTTTTATGTATTTTATGAAAATAAAGATTTTATTTATCTTATTTTTTCAACGATAAAGATTTATATATTTTAACTTTGTAAAAAAATTTATTTATTCATAAGGCAATCGCTATTTAGCGTACTTTTTATTATTACTAACTTTAGAGAATATCTTACCAAATTTATATTATAGGTACGTTTATTTTCATTTGATATAATGCCATCTGAATTTTCATTTAAATGTACATTTGAATGTAAATTTTCATTCATCATATGTTTATTCTTATTTAATTGAATATTATATTTATTTTCATTTAAATATTCTTCTAGATTTAAACTATCAATTAAATATTTATTGGAATGTATATTTTGAATTTTATTAATCATAATTTTGTTTCCATGTGATTGAAGATCATATTTATTTTCATTTAAAAATCCTTCAGGATTTAAACCTTTACTTAAATATTTATTTGAATGTAAATGTTGTTTTTTGTTAATCATATCCTCATTTCTATTTAATTTAGTATCATATTTATTTCCTTGTAAACATTCATTTAGATTTAAACTTTCAATTAAATGCTGAATTGAATATGAATTTTGATCAGTATGTCTATTTGTTGATTTCATAACATAATTATTTTCATTTAAAAATTCTTCCGGATTTACATTGGCTTCTCTTTAAACACGTTTCTCTCTATTAACAAAATCTAATCGAGTTGACATAAGAGTTGGATTGAATACATCATTTGAACCTGATATGTGAAACAAACAAATGAAATTTCAATTTTCATTTTAGTTATAAACTTACGTTTATGCTTAGGAACATGAATAGTTTTCAATAAAGACTTTCGAGTTGACGTTCGTTGTATGTTCGACATAATAGTTTTTTTATACTCATGCAAAAAAAAAAGAATAACACAATTTCAAATAAGAAAACTAGTTGTTAGAAGTAAGTCAAGCTTGGTATGAATCACTTGGTATGAATTAGAGTTCACTCGACAGTTCCTCCCCATGTCGATACGACACGCTTGTGTCGACACATTTTATGAGACATGTAATTTCAGTCACGTTTCGATACATGTGTCACCACTGTGTCATAGTGTACCGACACATGTGCGTGCTTAACGTGTGTCACGACGTGTCGACACATTTATTTCCAGTGTCACAGTGTGTCTGTGTCGCTATTTGAAATCATCCTATTGGTTTATTTTTCTTCACTAGCAGTTCATATTATATTAATATAGATATAAATTAATTTATTTTCTTTATTCATAACCAGTACACGGTCACCAATTTCTATATTTGATAAAGATTTCGCTAAACCATTTTCAGTTATAACGATACTTCGGCCAGGAAAGCATTTTGGTTTACGTCTTTCAGTTACACAAGTATATTGAAGACAAACATTACCATTCGATGATACTGAAGCACAGTTACATGTTGAATCATATTGATAACTTTGACTGTTAATACCAAATGATAATATTAAAAAACATAGACAAGCAATAGACAAAACAGACATTTGTATGTTGAATGAATGTATGCAATAAAGTGTTAAAGTAATCGTGAATAAGACTACTAAAGAAAAAAAATCCGCCGATGAATAAGAGTATTTTTTTTATTTCTTTTGGATGATGTGTCAATAATAAGGACACGACCTTCATTCATTTCTATTGGTTTAATAATGTTAAAGTCATAGGTCAATATGCGACAAGATGCTCTGACCTCATGACCGATGATAGCTGCCTGCTCATTCAGTCTTCTATTCATCCTTGTTTCTCATCTAACTCCTTCCTCTTTTCCTTTCATATATAAACTCATGTTTTGTGTGAAAAGAGCACAACTGGAGTGATGTAGCAGCGTAATGAACATCTATACCGAGGGTTAAAGTCCTTCACGATAAAGACTTTTTCGTACCCTACAGCAATTTCGCTACCCTTGTCATACCCTAATCCTACTCTACCCTAACCATACCTTGTCCTATTGGTTTTATAGCTTATTACCTGAAGATTTTCATATTTTGACAGATGTCCACATTACATTGTATTGGCTGTTTCAGCACATTTTTTGATTTCCAACGATAATCAAATATAAAATTATCACAACATGAACATCATTCTAAGCCTACCTTAACAATTGAGATGGTAGATTGCAGCTCTGAGAACAGTTAATGATAGATAATGAACTACATAGATGATTAAATTAGCAATCAGTAGCATTCTTGAGAAATATGTTGATATGGCTTGGCCGAGTTTTCTTAGGAACGAATATCGCAATGCCTATTTTTCAATTCGATCAATCGATCGAACTATAACTTTTCTCACTAGATTAACTAAAAAATAGATTGCAATAAACTGTAATTGTGTTCTATGGAAAAAAGCATAACGTAATCAAATATAGAAATGACCACTCGTTTTTCTACGAATTATCGATATCTCAATAAATGCCACTCAAAGCGTCTTCGCATCGAACTTCGCAGTTCGAAAGAAATTCTTAAGCTATATGATTCCCCTAAAGAGATTGGGGTATCGATCATTTGACTTATTTTAGTTTAATTATTTCCCATAAGTCAAGTTCAGAAAAGTTGTCTTATATTCACAAGTTCTCATGGAGTCAACAAAATACATATAATTTCCACTAGGCGATTAAGTCATGCATATGAGATATGTTCTGGAAGATTGATGTTCACATTTACAAAATAGTTTTGAAGAAATTAGCTTTGATGGAACTCTAATAGGCAAAGTTTTTTCCCTTCGCGTCGTCCTGCTCTGATACGCGTTCATAGGAAGGATTATAGCAGTCAAAAATCGTCCTCCTGGAAAGAAAACAGTAGGAGAATCAAGTTATCGACATAATCATATAGATATGTAATATGTCTGTCTGAACTAGAAGAAATTTTTAAGCATATATACTAGATATTCCAAATAATAGTTATGCTATTCAGGGCGAAGATCCATAATGTGATAACAGGATTTTAATATGCCAGTACATGCATAAATGATAAAAGCCTACATTCTAGTTGATGATTCTCCTAATATAATTATCTGGAAATAAAAAAGTGATAGCTTTATTATGTGTAGTGTAAAGATTAGTTATATTATCAAATAAAATGAAATTTTTCTAATATATTATTTTCTTTTGAATATCTCTCACCACATATATGGATTAACTGTTTAATATTTTTATTACTATTATTCTAATTTTTCGAACTTTTTCAAAGATGTATAAAGTGCACACTCATTATCGATTATCTATTTAAGAAAAGCGGCAATAATAGAACACTTAAAAGTTGAATTTCCTATAGCGTGATACTTTTGTTTTGCTCAAACAATTGTCACACTCGTAAGAAAGTAATGTGGCTGATCATTTTATTAATTCGTGTCACTTAGGTGATTATTTACTTCTGTTGGATTCATGATCACATTCTTCAAATAAGTATGCCTTTGATCTTGATGAAGAAAGAAAAACCATAGAGATTTGAGTTCCATCTTGAATATGATAGAAACATTATTAACAACCTTAGAACAGCTTTTCACTTCTAAATCTTCATTTTCGAGATGAAAGACAAACGGCAGAATTATGAGCTCAACTAAAAACACAAAAAACTATATCATTACCAACTATAGAATAAATTTTGTTTAGTAATCCTAACGTTACATATCAGAAATAAACTTTGAAGCTGTGAACCAGAATTAAGTTGAAGAGTTAATTGCTTATCAACTACAGGAAATTCTGTCAAGTAATCATAAATCTAGCATTAAAATAATCATATATACTTATTTGTAAATAACTTATTTCAAAACAAAACAAAATGTATATTTACATAACAAATCTATTCAAAGATACTTGTTTATTTGTTTTAAGAGAGAGTCCATCGGATCGTCCACGATCATTGCACTACACGAGGCACTCGATAAAATTTTTTTCTCGATTTTTTTTATTCATTCAACGCCTCAATGTCTAAAACTAGTAACCCTAAAATTTTATGTCCTGGTACCCTTCCTATGA